GACTTTAGCGAAATCACCAGAGAGACAGAGAGACGAGAGAGCGGAGAGAGAGAGAAGAACAAGAGGAAGACGTGAGTTGTGAAGTGTGTGCTGAGTGGACTGTGTGTGTAGTGTGTGTGTGGTTGGTGTGTTGTGTGTGTGTGGTGTTTGTGGTGTGTGTGGTGTGTGTGGGTGTGTGTGGTGTGTTTGTGGTGTGTGTGGTGTGTTGTGGTGTGTGTGGTGGTGTGTGTGTGTGTGGGGTGTGTGTGGTGTTGTGTGGGGTGGGTGTGTGTGTATGTCATAAAATACAATTCTCACGACGTTTCGGCCACAACGCAAGCAGCCGTCCTCAGAACAGGTCTGTCAGAAAGACAGCGTCAGTACCCGCGTACCCTACCCGATCTACCCGGCCGGGTACGGGTATACGGGTATCTGGTACCTGATTGCGACCTCTGGGATGAAGCCATGTTGCAGGCGCGGGGGGTTGATTCTAGGAACTTGAATTGTGAGAAGAGACAAGACGTTGGGAAATGAGTGACAAACGGTTACTCACCAGTGACTCACGGTCTACCCGTACCCGTACCCGGCCGGTACGGGTATCGGGTAGGTATGGGGTAGAGTACGGGTATCAGGTAGGGTACGGGTATCGGGTAGGGTACGGGTATCAGGTAGGGTATGGGGTAGAGTACGGGTATCAGGTAGGGTACGGTATCGGGTAGGTACAGGTAGGGTACGGGTATCAGGTAGGGTACGGGTATCGGTAGGGTACGGTGGTATCAGGTAGGGTACGGTATCAGTAGGGTACGGGTATCGGGTAGGGTACGGGTATGGGGTAGAGTACGAGTATCAGGTAGGGTACGGGTATGGGGTAGAGTACGGGTATCAGGTAGGGTAGGGTATCAGATAGGGTACGGGTATCGGGTAGGGTACGTATCAGGTAGGGTACGGTATCAGGTCGAGTACGGGTATCGGGTAGGTACGGGTATGGGGTAGAGTATGGGTATCGGGTAGGGTACGGGTATGGGTAGTATGGGTATCGGTAGGGTACGGGTATGGGGTAGAGTACGGGTATCAGGTAGGGTACGGGTATCAGGTAGGGTACGGGTATCGGTATACGGGTATGGGTAGGTACGGGTATCAGGTAGGGTACGGTATCAGGTAGGTACGGGTATCAGGTAGGGTACGGGCATCGGGTAGGGTACGGGTATGGGGTAGGGTACGGGTATCAGGTAGGGTACGGGTTATCAGGTAGGGTACGGGTATCAGGTAGGGTACGGGCATCAGTAGGGTACGGGTTATCAGGTAGGGTACGGGTATGGGGTAGGGTACGGGTATCAGGTAGAGTACGGTTTCAGGTAGGGTACGGGTATCAGGTAGGGTATCAGGTAGGTACGGGTATCAGTAGGGTATCAGGTAGGGTACGGGTATCAGGTAGGGTACGGGTATCAGGTAGGGTACGGGTTGGGGGGGTACGGGTATCAGGTAGAGTACGGGTATCAGGTAGGGTACGGGTATCAGGTAGGTATCAGGTAGGGTACGGGTATCAGTAGGGTACGGGTATCAGGTAGGGTACGGGTATGGGTAGAGTACGGGTATGGGTAGGGTATGGTATCAGGTAGGGTACGGGTATCAGGTAGAGTACGGGTATCGGGTAGGGTACAGGTATCAGGTAGGGTACGGGTATGGGGTAGAGTACGGGTATCAGGTAGAGTACGGTATCAGGTAGGGTACAGGTATCAGGTAGGGTATCAGGTAGGTACGGGTATCAGGTAGGGTACGGGTATCAGGTAGGTACGGGTATGGGTAGAGTACGGTATCAGGTAGAGTACGGGTATCAGGTAGGGTATGGGGTAGAGTACGGGTATCAGGTAGGGTATCAGGTAGGTACGGGTATGGGGTAGGGTACGGGTATCAGGTAGAGTACGGTATGGGTAGAGTACGGGTATGGGGTAGGGTACGGGTATGGGTAGAGTACGGGTATGGGGTAGAGTACGGGTATCAGGTAGGGTACGGTATGGGGTAGGGTACGGGTATGGGGTAGAGTACGGGTATGGGGTACCCGGTTGCGACCTCTGCGTAGCGTGGGGTAGATGGGCATTGAACACCCCCAAGTGCAGCTGGTGTTGTGTTGAGTTGGTGAAGCAGCGTTGCTCCCACTACGTCTGTGACCCAGTTGGACTCACTACGGGTGTCACGTAAAACGTGGATTTAAACAAAAGCAGCAATCCTCCAGGAACATTGTTCCTGCAGCACGGCGGCGAGAGAACAGCACAGATGTTTTAAGAGACGCAACAAGTCACATTTATTGCAGAGAGTTTCACATCAATCACTCGGTCAACACTCACCGGTATTTAGCATTTTTTATGTTTTCCTGCGTGACTTAGACATTATAACTAATAAAATTATTATTTTATGTTTATTATTTATATGACTTATTAAAACTTGTTTTTTCCCGAAAA